TGGGATCCCAGATGGGCTGGGGTACGGTGACCAGCCAGGGAACTGGCATTTGGCTGTGAGAAGCCACATGAGCAAGGGCAGGAAGTGACTGCGGGGAAGCAGGCCTCCTGCCCTAACATCTGAGCCCCTGGGCCTCTCTGGATGGGACCAGAAAGATGTCTGAGAAGAGCTGTGCTTGTGGGGGTGGGGGGTGGGGGGTGGGGCGGGGGCGTGTTTGGAGTCAGGATGGTCTGTATGAGCGTCGGCTTTTGTGGTTGTTTGTAAATAGTTCTGTTTTGGTGTCTGCGAGTGATTGCCCATGTGTGAGACACGGTACCGCCTGTTTGTGTGATCGGTTGTGTTTTGTTGTGTTGGTGTGCTCGGGCATGTTGCTCTACACCCTGGGGAGGGACTGGAGTTGGTGGAGGGGAAGCGGGGGGACAGTGTGTGTCTGCGGGTCCAGAGGGGCAGCCACCACACCCACCTTTGTGTTCTGCTCCTGGGGCAGCACCGTGGGGCAAGCGCGGCTGGAAGATGCTCCACACCGTCTTGCGAGGGATGGTCCTCTACTTTCTGAAGGTAGGAAGGGAGTCCGCACCCGCGATGGGCAGCACGGGAGGATGAGCAGCTGATGCAGACCTCTTTTCTGAGCCCGTGTGCCCTGTGGCAGGGAGAGGACCACGGCCTTGAGGGGGAGAGCTTGCTGGGGCAGATGGTGGACGAACCGGTAGGGGTGCACCACTCGCTGGCCACTCCCGCCACCCACTACACCAAGAGGCCGCACGTCTTCCAGCTGCGCACGGCCGACTGGCGCCTCTACCTCTTCCAGGCACCGTGAGTTTCCGGGGGGAACAGGCAAGGGGCAAGGCCCCAGCTTTCCTCCCTGACCCCCTCTCATCCTCTGACGGCTACCGGCCCCGCCCTGGGGGGGAGGTGCCGTCCTGACCAGGCCACCTGAGATGGGCTGCTGGCCGGGGTCCGGCTACAGCTGGGAGCCAGGGCTTCCTGCTTCCGTCCCCTGCCCTTGGCCCACTTTGCCACTGTACCACCTCTTCCCCGAAAGTCCGACTGAGCCTCTCAGTTCCAAACAGAGGATTCCAGGAAGTCACGGACACTCGATCATTTTTTGGCATTTGATATAAACTCTATTGCCTTCCCAGATTTGCCTCTTTGTCTGCTGAGAAAAACCACAAGCGAGGGTCAACCACCTCGGCCAGTGGCAGGACTTCTCTGGCTTTTGTCGGCTCTGAGGCCTGAGCTGCCGGGCTGCTGTGCAGACCACGGGAGGCTGGGGGCGGGGGATAGGTGATAGCACCGGACTCTGTGGTCCTGGGGACAGATGGCCGCCTCTCCCTGCAGCACTGCCCAGGAGATGACTTCCTGGATGGCGCGCATCAACCTGGCTGCCGCCACGCACTCAGCGCCGCCCTTCCCCGCCGCGGTGGGCTCCCAGCGGAAATTCGTCCGGCCCATCCTGCCCGTGGGCCCCGCCCAGAGCTCCCTGGTACGGCCCGGGGGAGGGGGGGTGCACCCCGGAGGACTAGGAAGGAGATGAGAGGCTGTGCAGCTGGCCTAGGAAAAGTGGGGGTGGGGGGGGAAGGGGGAGGGATGGGCTGAACACCTGGGCCCGGGATCGGGGATAGAGCTGTACACCTGGGCCCAGGAACGGAGGCGGGGGTGGGGGTGGGGCG